AAAAAAAAAAAAAAAAAAAAAAAAAAAAAAAATGAGCTGGGCATGGGGGCCCATGCCTGTAACCCAGCAACATGGGAGGCAGAGGCAAGAAGGATGGCAAGTTTGAGTCCAGCATGGGCGACTTAGTGGCATAGTGAGATCCTGTGTAGAAAAGACAGAGATCAGTCAGGGACTCCTTGAAAGTCGTGCATATTTCTGATTCTGCAGGTCTGGGAAGGGTTTATGCCCTGGGAATTGCAGGCCCACCCATGACCGTGAGGCAGGATTCCACTTGATATGTGTGTGTCTGCCCCACAGGTGCGCTGACGTTCCTTCTGTCCATGGGCAGAAATGACGGTGTGGGCCAGATCAGTGGCTTCTATGTGGGTCGGCTCATGGTTCGGCTGGCCAAGAGCAGGGACCTGTTCGTCTCCACGAGCTGGAAAACTATGAGGCAGTCTCCACCTTGATGGGGAGGCTGGGCCGGGGACCTGGCACTGCTGCGCACTGGTGAGGGACGTGTGACAAATGGACCCACCTGACTGGTGCCAAAGGGCAGAAGTGCAAAGCCTCTTTCTCTCTTTGGAGTGAGATGCCAGTGATGTCCTGTCCAGAAATATAATTTGTGTAAACCCAAAGATGAAAAACATCTAGAGAGCGAGAATGTGAGAGCAACAGAAAGATTTTAAAAAATCATGTCTAGAGGATCCTTTCTGGGTCTGGGAGGTCTGGCTGTCACTGTGATGGCTGAAAGGGGGGTTGGGGGCACAGCACAGACAGAGTTCTATACTCCAGGCTCCAGTGGGATTTGCATGTGTATTGTGTGTGTGTGTGTGTGTGTGTACACGAACATGAGTGTGCACTTGAGTGTGGTGCACAGAGCTCTCAGGGTAGGGAGAGAGCTGTACTTCTGGTGGCTGCCATCCCCTCCGTGAGCGCTAGAAGGACAGCCAGCAAAATGAGGCCAGGCAGCAGGGGCAGAGAGGGCCTGTACCCCACACCTTTCCCATCACATTAGGGTGGGGAAGTCCACACATCCTGCAGAATGCATCTTGTTAACGGGAGCCTCATTTTAAACTCCCTGGATTATGGTTAGTCTCTCTCTCTCTCTCTGAGACAGGATCTCACTGTGTTGCCCAGCTTGGCCTTGACCTCCTGGGATCCTCCCAGTTTACCCTCTGGAGTAGCTGGGACTACGAGTGTGTGCCCCCACACCCAGGTGGGCCCTACTTTTTTCAATCCTCATGAACCTTCCTCTGTTTCCATTTTTAGATCCTAATTGTATACCATGGGTACTTTTAAGAAGAAAGAGTCACTGTGTAGTTTGCCTCCCAGCTAGCCCAACAGTGAGCTTCTCGGAGCTGGCAGGGCTGAGGTTGCCACCTGGGACTTCCCTCTGTGGGACTATTTCAGGAAAGGGAGCAGAGACACAGTAGGGGGCCACGTGCTTAATCACCCTTTAGGGAGCAGATGGGCTTCTGCTGGAGATTCGTACGTATATCCATGTGCACCTTCGTGAGTGACAAAATCCAGCTGATGGTGAGGGACCTTGTTTTGTGCTTGTTTTGTGGCCAACCCCAGCATTACTTTCTGAGACTCAGGCATATGGGGGTGGGGCTGTCTGCCACCAGCTGTGGTAGGGTGTGACCCCTCTATGTGGAGAGATCTTCAGGGTAGAGGGGTCCATTTTGGGCCATTTTAGTTAAATGTTCACCGCAGAAGCGGGAGCTGAATTCATCTGAGTAAATTCGGCCCGACTCCCTGCTCTGCTCCTCCTTGCTTGCTTTTCACGGTAGCCTTTGGGTACTGGGGCAGAGTCTCTGGGATTCCCGCCTCTCCGGGGTGCTCTGTCCTTCCCCATTTAGGCTGCGGGCCAGGCTGTGTTCCGCTTCACTGCCCAGGTCTAAGTGAGACACATGCCTCTCTCTCCCAGATGGTGACCCCACTGGCAGCTTGACCCGAGGCCTTGGACCCGCTGCCTGAGCCGGCACTGGGGAGGCACGGTGGGAATCTCCACTCGTTAGTGGTAGGCCTAGTGCTATTGACTTAGAACACTGTAGAAGCTCCCATCCACTGGGATCAAGTTTCCTAAACAGAGAAATACTGCAATAAAAGAACACATTATAAGAAAGACACTGGATCTTTTATTTTTTTCCTTTCATTTTCTTTAAAAAACCAAACGAAACCAAAATAATCCCGAAGAAAAAAACGTTTTAGGAGTAGTTACAGATATTATAGGGGTCAGGAGGTGGGGGTGGGAGGGGACACGGAAACAAGAGAAAAAGCACCAGTAAGACGACCTTCCCGTCTTCTCTCCACCATGGAACACAGGCAGCCCGCAAACCCAAGTCACACTCATGCCCTCTTCCCTCGGAGAAAGGAGGAACAAAAGATTTAAGGATCTCGAAAGGATTTTTTGAGTGTGTGTAAAAGTCAATGCTATAAATCTAAAACGAGGTCTGATTTCTTTTTTAAAAAGTTCTAAAACAACAGAAAGAAAAAACATGGAAAAAAACCCCTGGTGGAGACCTGGTTCAGCACGGACCAAGGCCCATTATAAGGAGAATATAAAATGCAGGGGGCACCTGCCGTGGGCAGGACCTGCTCGCGCCGCCTCTGCTCCCTGCGTCCCTCTCCACCGCCATCTGCTCCCCTGCTGTCACCCTTCTTGCTCCTTTTAAAAAATAAAACCCCACTCTTGAGGTGCAGTGACGCTCCTCTGTCCCTGCTGGAGCGCAGCTACTTGGTGTCCAGCTTGGCCATCTCCTGTACGTAGATGCCAATGCTCTCGCTGTCGAAGAGCAGGAAGTACACGTTCTTCAGGGACGACGCGCTCGAGTCGTCGAAGTGGGCCGAGATTGCCTTGAGGGTCACCTGGGCGGCCGTCTGTTTGGGAAAGCAGTTTCTGTGCCAAAGCAAAAGCGAGGCCTGTGTCATTTTGGTCCCTGAGAAGGGTGATGTGGGTGGCCTCACTGTGCGCAGGGCTGGTTCAGCACCAGCTTTCAAAGGGCCAGCCCGGGGCTGGGGACAGGAAGGGCACACTGGCTCAGGTGTGACAATTTTAGCAAAGTCAGAGCTGGCACGTGACGTGTGCCCTATATTGGAATCTGTATCACCTGAGTCAAGTAGAACTTGGCTGTAAAAGCCCTAGTAATCCAGTATTCACAAGACCCGCTCATCAAAATGCAAATAGAGGGCTGGGTGGTGTGGTGCAGGCCAACACTAGCACTATGTGAGGCTGAGGTAGGAGGATTGCAAGTTTGACCCCAGCCTGGGAAACTTAGTGACTCAAGAGTTAAAAAAGAAAAATTCAGAAAGGGTTAGGGCTATAGCTCAGTATGAAGGACCTGGGTTCAATTCACAGTACAGAAAAAAAAAAAAAAAGCAAATACTAGTTTTATTACCTCCCTCAGAACTGCTTTACATGCCAATTAGATAGTTTAATAAGGGCAAAAATGTAGGCTCAAAGCTCGTTTTCAAAATTCCTTTTCATGCATCTGTTCTCTCACTAACTCACAAGGACTTGCCAATGTAATTTCAGCAACAGCTCTGGGCAGGGCCTTTGATAATGTCTACCAGCCCCCAGGGACACAGCCGTAGTACCATTTGAGGTCAGCCGCGAAACTGCTGGGGAAGGTCCAGGATGGGCCTGCCTTGGGCATATTCTTCGGAGGGATGAGTTTCCCAGTATGGGACACAGCCTGGGCTCCCACCTATGGAGACTGTCCTGCTGCACTTCTGGGCCTGGGCTGTGGGGAAATGATTCCAGCAGGCCCTAGGCCTTTAGTTCTCAGCCTTCCCAGGATCAGAGCTGTGTACCGAGCCAGCCCCCTTGTAAGCAAGCCTGAGGCAGCCTGTCCCCGCTGTGGGTGTGTTCCTCAAGCCTGAGCCTCCTGGAGCTGAAGCAGAAGGTCTCGGGGAAGGGTGCTGGGGTTCCACACACCGACCGAGCTGTGTTGCTGCTGCTGGTCCACCGACCACACTGGGAGTAGCAAGGCCTCTGAACCTGATGTTTAATGATGTGTTCTAGATGTGGACAGCTGGTGTGTGTGAGGGGATGGGTTCTGAACACAGCGGGCTCTCATAATTACCAGGCTACCTTGCCTCTGCCCATGGTGCCCCCTGCAGCTGCCTTTTCGTCAGGACGTCGACATAATGGAGGCAGTGGAGCTGGCCTGACCTTGGGTGGCCACCGAGGACCAGGGGGCAGTCTCTGTCTGGGTTGGAAGGCGTGGAACTGGGGCTCTTGCCCTGCCCCCCCGGCTGACTTGCTTAGCTGTGCCAGCAGCCCTGGGCTGGGCGGAGCAAGGGGGAGCAAGTTGGACACTGCTGGTTCCCAGGGACAAGGCTGAAAGAACCCACTGGGAGGAGCCCATCCTACCTGCCACTGGGGAAGGGTGGGAACGCGACAGATTTCAGCTTCTTGTCCTCAGCCGCCGACAGGCAGTTTTTGATGGTCTCTTCAAGCTGCTCTTCGCATTTGTCAGAGCCCCATTGGGGGATGTGACAGTGGATGACGAATTTAGCGGCAAGTCCACTGGATTGGCTGACAGCGGCTGGGACATGGGTGAGAGGAAGGCCACAGGTTAATTTCCCAAGTCTTATCTTAAGTCTGGAGGGGTGGGGTGGGCGGGGGAGAGGAGTCCTGCTCCTCTGCCTGATAGATTCAGGAGGGGCTGGATGTGACGGGGAGGTTGGCTGGACAACATTTCCTGCCTCCATGCAGACTGTTTGGGCCCTGGACAGTCGGTACATGCTCTGGGTGAAAGCATGTCACTTCAGTGTGACAGTGAGTATGTCTTTCGTGCAGTCTGGGGATCCCACTCGATCCTCGATTAGGAGTTAACTCACAGTGATTCTTAGGCAAAGGAACACAGCAAAATCATGTCTGGTGCTGCGTTCCATTAAGGAATGGCCTCCCTCTTAACACCACGTCCTAATCTGTGGGACCTGTGGAGGCCCAAAGGGACCCTGCACATGTGATTAAGTTAGGGACCTTCAGACAGCAGATGGCCTCAGGTTATCTGGATGGGCTCTTAACGGAGCCACGAGGGCTATGTAAGAGGGAGGTGAGAGGTTCAAAGGAAGGAAAGATAGAGTAACGAAGCAGGGAATAGAGTGACGCCTGCAGGAGTAAGGAAATGTCAGAGCCTGGAGGCCAGAAATGGCCAGGGAGGGACTGTCCCCAAGAGACCAGCCCTGGGATCCCTCATTTCTGTCTCTTAAAATTCACTGTGGGGCCAGGGAATTCACTCAGTGGTTCCACCACCTGCCTTACAATCACAAGGACCCAAGTTCAATCCCTGGTACGAAAAAAAAAAAAAAATTACTGTAGACCAGAACTCTAAGATAGAATAAGTTAGTGACCACTGAATTCATGGTAATTTGATAGGGTAGCCACAGAAAAAAGATACAATTATTTATTTATTTTGTAGTGGTGGGGACTGAACCCAGGGCTTAAAGCATGCTAGGCAGTTGCTCTGCCACTGAGCCACATCCCCTACCCCATGTACTGTGGGTGTTCCTGGCCACTTGACCCCGGGAGAGCTGGGGGTCCCTGGTCCTCCTAGATTGGCCAGGCTCTGGGAGCCTTGGCGGTGTGTGTAGGGAGGCACAGTTCAGGGTCAGCATTTG